GCCATATATATATATATATATATATATATATATATATATATATATATGCTATGTATAGGCCCTCGACATTAAAGCAAATTTTTGTTTTTATAATGGGGTAAAGCACTTCAGATAATTTAACAAACAACTATAAAAAGCAGCTTCAATACTTCTGATGCTTTTTGCCCTAAACAAATATAAAATAAAAGTTGTTGAAATAAACTCTATATGTTTTGTATCTAATGGAGCATTAAGATTATTTCCCAGTCATTTTCATTACCACATTAGAACTGCTACGTCATAAGGACCCCGGCTGAATCTTGTTTCATAGGATTGAAGGCAATCAACGTCAAATAAACCCGTGTCCTTAATAGCGCCCCTCCTTTTAGTGCGAACACGTCTTGTATTACTGTTGCACTACGGTGAATTCATATTGAACGCAACCTTCCGGTCATTAGCTTGTAGCAGTACTCAATGCAGACGAGGAACTCGATAAAAAAAGCTGGCTGAGTCGTTACCCAGTTACACGTTGTTTTTTCAGTTGATGCGAATATATCGCAGTTAGAAAAATGCGACAAATCCTTATCGTTTACTGCTACGGATATTACAAAATCCAATTATTTTACAAAGAAAATACTTAAAAAAGATGTTTTTTTTTTAATTTTTAAGTCTATGCATCGTACCCACGTACAAGTATAGTGATACTGCGAAAAAATTCAGTCATTACACGTAAGTTAGGTTTAGGATTAAGAAATATGGCCGATCTGTTATGCGAATGGTGATAAGAATGTGTATGTTAGAAAGGCCGATCTGTGACGTCCAGGGGCGGAACTACAGTGCCGCCAGACCCCGCAATGCGGGGGGGGGGGGGGGGGGCACGACGTTTAGGGGCCCAATTCCGACCAAAAAAACAATGAATTTTCCTTTCATAAATAATGTTTTTTCGTGCACATTGATAGTAGTTTTGTAAAAAACAAACAGGTCTACTATAGCAGTCATTGTTCTACAGTAACTAACACACACTGTTGCCAGTGTTTCTTCCAGACTTTTTTTCTCCGGGGGGGGGGGGGGGGGGGCACTTGAAATCTTCGGGGGGGGGGGGGGCGGTAAACTTTCTTCGGGGGGGCGGACACTGTTAAAAGTATATATTTTCTATATAAAATGTATAAATTTCATTTCGTTCGGGGGGGGGGGGGGGCGGTAAAATTATTTCGGGGGGTTTCGCCCCCCCGAAGAGATGCCTGGAAGAAACTCTGACTGTTGCTTAGAAAAATATAAAATCTACAAGAGCTGTACTTTGAAAGATAGGCAAACGTTCACAATACTTCCATGACTTACTGCCCTTCATCAAAACACGGGTGCCCATAAAGCTCATTTAAATACTTTTGTACTATGTGAATTAAAGAGCCATTTATTCTCTTAATTATTATTTAAATGAGGCATATTAAAGAATCCTATAGCTATAAAATTAATGTATTCAAAACTAATAATATAAATACAAAAAATCATAAAATAAACATAACGCGAGAAACCATTTTAAAATCAAGCTTACGTGTTTATATAATTTTGACCAGCCAGCAATTTTGTCACTATTTTCGGTACACATAAAGACGTAATACAAACATTTGTAAAACACGATTAATGCCGCGCTCGAAATGAGTTCGGACTTATTTTTGTCTGGTTCGTTATCTCAGAGTGGTTATACATTGCAATAAAATATATTATAATACTCAGGTAATAGACTATCTAAAATTTTGAGAAGCGGGCTATTTATACATATGTATGTATGTATGTCTATATATATATATATATATATATATATATATATATATATATATATATATATATATATATATATATATATATATATATATATATATATATATATATACATATAGGGGGGGGGGGCCCAAAAAAATTTTTTTGCGAGGGAGCCTTTTTTTTTCTAGTTCCGCCACTGGTGACGTCACTAGTGATAATAATGTGTATGTTAGAAAGGCTGATCTGTTAAGCCACAAAAGGTAACAATGTGTCTGTTAGGAAGGCCGATATGTTAGAAAAGCTGATCTGTGACGTCACAAGTGATGATAAGAATGTGTATATTAGAAAGGCTGATCTATTACACCACTGCTTATAAGAATGTGTATATTAGAAAGGCCGATCTATTTCACCACTGCTGATAAGAATGTGTATATTAGAAAGTCCGATATATTTCACCACTTCTGATAAGAATGTGTATATTAGAAAGGCCGATATATTTCACCACTTCTGATAAGAATGTGTATATTAGAAAGGCCGATATATTTCACCACTTCTGATAAGAATGTGTATATTAGAAAGGCCGATCTATTTCACCACTGCTGATAAGAATGTGTATATTAGAAAGGCCGATATATTTCACCACTTCTGATAAGAATGTGTATATTAGAAAGGCCGATATATTTCACCACTTCTGATAAGAATGTGTATATTAGAAAGGTCGATATATTTCACCACTTCTGATAAGAATGTGTATGTTAGAAAGGCCCAACTATCACACCACTGCTTACAATAACGTCATAAATTAGAGCGTGCTATTGACGAGTGACGAGGGTAGTTTCGAGGACTAGTCCACAACAAAAATATCGAACACGTTTTCTTCCAATCAGTCCTTACGTTTGACGTTCAAGACATCGATGCTGACATGCGTGGTGCCGGTCATCTGTGGCGAGCCCAGGTCGGTAGCCAGTACCACCAGGTCCAGATTGGAGATGGTGACGTCATCGACGACGTGGACAAGCTTTAGGCTGCCGTCTGGTTCCACAGACACGTATTTGTTGGCAACCTGGAAACATAACAACACATAATGAGAGTATTGTGAGATTGTCTTAACTGACTGTATAATTATATAGCCTGTGTATAGGCCTTCATAAACATAACAAAACATAATGACAGCGTGGTGAGATTGTCTTTACATAGCTTACAATGTATATATAGCTTGTGTAAATGCCTCCATAAACATAACAAAACATAAAGACAGCATGGTGAGAATGTCTTGACCAGTGTTTCAGTGACTTTTTTCTCCGGAGGAGCACATGAAATTTTCGTGGGGGGGGGGGGGGGGGGGGTGGGGGGACAAAAAATTGAAAGATGCCTGGAAGAAACTCTGGTCTTGACATAGCTTAAACTGTATATATAGCTTGTGTATAGGCCTGCCTAAATATTGGTTCCTTATGGCAAAGCCACACCTCCTTAAAATCCAATTTAAATGGGGGGAGGGGATATTTTTTGTTAAAAAAAAATATTAAGAAAATATAACGAAAAGCATTAACCTGCAAATTATTTTAACCTTTGCTTAATTTAATTCTCATTCACCTTTTTCAATTTTACCTAAAATGTAATTTTAAAAAAAATAGCGCGAGCCCCGACGTATTTTTAACATAAAAATTGAAAAGTTTAGAGAAAAAAAGATCTAATGTACACTATGACATAATGTTTAAAAACAAGTTCGAGTGCTACGCTTGTCGAAGCCCCCCCCCTCACCCCCTCCCCACTTTCAGCCCTCCTCCCTCCCATGAACGGAAGGTTCCCGTGTGTCAATAGTTCAAATGTATTCCTCCGTCTGTGTTGAAGATGTGGACACAAGAGGAGGGGAGATAACACTCCCATATTAATTTGCTTAGACTTGCGACAGGCTGCAAATTGCGCACCTTTAAAGGTTAGCGTTAGTGTGTAGACGGAGAGAGCCAGAAACTTTTGGACCCCAGTTATTTCCGGGGGCGGTAGGGCAATGTTATTAGTGACACTGTATATACACATACCACATACGATTACCTATACCCAAAGACATACCCATACATATATATATATATATATATATATATATATATATATATATATATATATATATATATATATGTATATATATATGTGTGTGTGTGTGTTGTGTGTGCAGAGTTTCTTACCCCCCCCCCCCCCCTCGAACGAAATGAAATTTTTATAATTTATATAGAAAAATAGAAAATATATACTTTTAACAGTGTCCGCCCCCCCCCTCCCCCGAAGAAAGTCTACCGCCCCTACCCCCCCCCCCCCCCCCCCCCCCGAAAATTTCAAGTGCCCCTCGGAGAAAAAAGTCTGAAGAAACACTGTGTGTGTGTGTGTGTTTGTGTGTGTGTGTAAAAAGCACTAATGCAATTCGCCTGCAAATATGCTTCCTGACATAAATAAATACAATAAATTATTCTGGTCCTCGATATTCTATTTACATAATTATTCCCAGCGTGTCGTGGATTAGTACAAGCAGAACAAACCTGATTTTCTGCCGCGTAAATTTTAAACTCTCTGTTGTAGTCCTTTGTCATCCGGGTCACTAGCGGCTACCACACCCGATCTTGTCTCCCACACCGTAGCGGTACACAGGGAACATGTACTGTGTGAGGTTGAACTGTGGGGGGTAGACGTTTTTCTCTGACACCCGAATGCTCGCTTGTCTATAATCCGCCTGGTGAGGATAAGAAACATTGATGACATTTTTTAATGCTTGAAATCGAAAAAAATCGATTGAGAAGTTAATTTTTTCTATGATTAACAGTAAAAACATAAGTAAATTTCAGTTTATTTTTTGGCAATATTAGTATACAAATAATATGAAAATCGATCAATTCAGACGTAATTAGAAAACCATTATTTTCACCGCTAAGCTGCATGCAAAAATAAGTTAATAAAAAAAAACTAAACTGATAATTATATATTTTTTGTTATATTTTTTCCTGGATTTAACATGTCAGACTAAAACATTACTTCCTTTATATCAAGTCGTAAACAGAGTTACAATATAATTAGACACGAATAAAATCTCGAGTAAGAAAATGGACAATATCAATCAGGCTTGAAGTGTCTATTGTGCCAACATGTACACATTAAAAAAAATGCCTCTCGTTTAGAATGTTTGTACCGGTAAATAAATCCGGTCGTTTTTTAAACATCCACATAGGTTCTGTTGTTCTCTTGATTAAACCTATGATCGTTTGGTTTTTCCAGAACAAATTATAATAAAATATATTAAATCAAATAAAAATGTAAATAATAACTTTGTAGAAAAAGAAAGGTAAATTTAAATTTAAAAAAAAGTTATTACAAATTGCTCTAGTGTAAGTGCAAAAAGTAAATAAAATTTTAAGATACGGAGGGAAAAGTAAGTTATTTCTGTGATATTTATTTTTCGCTTCACTGTAAAGGTATTTTAAAAAAATAAACAACATTTCAGACAATACATATACACACAAACGATCAAAGACAACAATGAAAGTAAAAAAAAAAGTAAGTAAAAAGTATACGACAACTTTTAAAGAAATGATGGCTCCCACCCTTTCTCCACTTCTCCTAACTAGATCTCATTAACATTTCTCTATTTTGGCGCCCCTCTCAAAATATGTTAAGTTATTGAAAGAGTCTCACGGGGCGGACAACCCCCACTCCCCTTAGTTACGCCATTCGACTACTTGTCTACCATATTCTCAGCGTTAATAAAACACCACTGTGTAGCTAAGTCACTCTGCTGTTGCCTATCAAGTGGGTGAAACATTCCAGGATTTATAACTGAATGCGTTTATTGGATAAATATCAGCAAGATAAATTCCTATAATACAAAGCTTTCTGATGTTACTTTTCAGGATAGCCCCTCCCCCCCCCCCCCGACCCCTCTTTACATACACACCACTTCTCATGAATATGTAAGTAATAATTAAAGCCGCAGGGATTTTTTATCAGTGGTTTTTTTCAGACTTTTTTTCTCCGGCTGAGGGGGGAGGGGGGTTACTTGAAACTTTCTGGCAACATTTTTTGGAGGTGGGGGGGGGGGGAGGCGGAAATTAAAGTATATATACTTCAATACAAATTCTATTTCGTTCGGGAGTGGGGAGGGAGGGGGGTTAACGTGACTCAGGAGTGGGGGGGGGGGGGGGCATTGCCATGGTTGAAAGAAACACTGGTTTGTATTATTAATTATTGCAGCAAGAATGTGTGGATAACTTTAGAGAAGGCAGTGAAAATATGTTTACAAAAAAAAAACAAAAAAAAAAAAACAAACATCTAAACAAAACAATACTTTTACAATACTAAATTATGTTAGTCTTAAGAAAAAAAATGTCAAATTTGTTTTATTATACAAGAAAGCAACGAGAAAAATGTATAAGTAGATTGGTGTACAAATAATAAGAGAGGAAAATAGATGTTAGTAACGTTTTACAAACAATATATTTCTTGAGAATGAAAAAGTGCTTCAATTCACTGTCTTCATCAGCGTGCATTAGCCAAGACATATACGAACATTTTTACAACTTAGTAATTCTTTGAGAACGCTACAATCGATTAATTTACAAATTAATTGGTTTTAAATTTCGTTTAATAGATAAATGCGAATCTAATACCTTAATTATCCATCTAATGCCAATTAAGACATTGGGTCAAAATCCATTGTTTTAAATTTATATTCGTAATTTAATTTCGTTCTTAGAACGCTCTGAAGAATTTTCAGTTTCGTAATGATTCAAAGGTAGCGATACTAGAAGTAAAATATCAACGAATCGTACTGTAGAAACAAAAGAGAAATCGTCATCATCATCATCTTTTTATCTATAGTCAACAACTTTGTTTCACTAAATTTAGTCAGCTACCCAGTGGCGTAGCGAGGTCGGGTGTCACCCGGTGCGGCACTTATTGGTGTCACCCCTCAGAGGCGTAGTAACCCTTCCCAGGGACAAACTTTCAAATTTTCGATTTGCAACCCCCCTTCCCCCTTCAAACTTTCGATTTGCAACCCCCCCCCCCCCCTCAAACTTTCGATTTGCACCCCCACTCAAGTTTTTCTCTATATATTTTGCTATTTTTTGCCTTGGTGTCACCCCCCCTAAATGGTGTGACCCGGTGCGGTCCGCACCCCCCGCCCCCCCCCCCTTTCTCGCTACGCCTCTGCAGCTACCCACCAGGGACGTCTAACAGACTCGAGCCCCGATAATCCGGACACGTGACTTACGGATTAGCAGACGTAATCTCCACCACTCCATCACGTATATCCCTTTTAGCTGTGTACTTTTACTATATCAATGCGACTTACTATGAACAATCGTTTCCTAAAATAATCACGAAGCCATTTATCGATTTGCAGCTAAGAACTAAAATGCAATTCATGGTTTATCTGAATATAATTGATTTGAGCCAAAAATAATCAATCATAAATGACGATTACTATCGGATAAAGGTAATCAATAGTTCAATAATTATAGATCGAATAGTTCATCTGAAAGCGTTAAGATCGAACCTAAGTGCAGTTAGAAGCGTGTCGTTATGCCATACGATACAATTTCTGGGGTTTTCATATTTTAACATTTGCAGCGACATTTTATAATTCGGGAAATTAAAAAAAAAATTTTGTAAAATGTAAAGAATTTAGTTTGTAAAACATTATTTAGAACTTAAAAAATAAAACTGTCTACTGAAATACTCATTTCATTTTTGACACACCCAACAAGCTACTAGTCGACCTTGTATGAAAATATGCCCCAAAGCCAATTTACTTCAAAAATAACATTATCACTTTCAAGAATTTACTTTTGCATTATTTTCGATAGAAGAACTGTTCCTATTTTTTATTGACTTGAATCGACGCTCTTGGGCGGGTATTTTAAAAATCATTCAACTGTTTCATAAGTCTTTAAATAAATTAAATAAGCATAAAATCTACAGAAATATTATGAGTAATCTATTTTTGTACTCTAAATAGGCCTATAATAATTAAACTGATACATATTAATTAATTTTAGTCAATCTTTTGAGTGGAAGGATGTGGTGAGTAGGCTACTATCAAAATAAAAACCTTCGTTTAAAAATATATCAAATTTAGCTCGTGATTTCTTAATTTGGAGATAAGGCATTTGAAAGAAACAACCTTAAACAACAAAACGTTTATTTATTTCCGAGTGCAGAGGCGTAGCGACCCTTCCCGGGGACAAACTTTCGATTTGCACCCCCTCCCTCAAACTTTCGATTTGCACCCCCCTCGAACTTTTCATTTGCACCCCCCACCTCAAACTTTCAATTTGGCGCCCCCCTAAGGTGGGCGCCCGGGGACATATGTCCCCCCCCCCCCCACCCCCACCCCCCTCTCGCTACGCCTCTGTCCGAGTGCATACTTGTTGTTAATCTCAGTCAAAGTTAAAGACATTGAACTTGTTGTTGCTATGGACAACACACAATCATATCAACGTATAAGAAATTGTGTATGGTGTTAGTTTTGATTTTCGTGAAAAAAATATTTTGTATGTAAAATAATGTTTCATACAAAACACAAAGCAAAACCAAGTAACAACAGAAGTAAAACATAGTTATGGAAAAAAAGTACACAATACACAATTGAATATAATGTAAAACCAAACATTGAGCTATTGTGATAAAAATATTGAATAAATCGAATTGTTAATTGTTAAAATAAATGAGAAGCCAAAGTTAGATTCAATATTATAAAATTGGGATTTTATTTTTGGAATGAAAAATGTTTTTAAAAATATTAAAAAAGCCAAGCAAATGGGTAATAAATATTTGAATGTTATTAAACGCCACTGGTTAAGGGATAAATTCTCCATTAAGAGAAGTAATAAAATGGATTTAGTGTTTAATTATAAAGAATAATTATGGACATGCGAATACAATAATTATTAGGCAATTTCGGGTAGAGGGGAGGCTATTCACGGACTTTTTATCAATAAAGAGAATACTATTTTAAAGTATTTTATTGCCCGCGTTTTTTCCGTTATTTAGTGCCAAAATACCATTGCCTTTGACAAACACATTGATTTCTAAACTAGCATTCACCCTAAGCTTAGCTCGTTAAAGTCTTAACCTTATGGATGCTTTTCATGCTTTATAATGGCCGTTCATAGCACAGCAAACGGCATCCTGGCACCTCATAACGGAAAAGATAACCGTTTATAAGTGAGAAGTCGAGTTAGAGATTAGCATGCGGGTTAAAGCTAGCGTTACACACGGTCAAAGCTTATGCTTACATATTTGTCGGGGTATTCCTGAAAATCAAAACGTTAAGTTTTCTTTTCAAATGAGGCTGTTTTCAACTTAAAGATTTATAATTTATAGAAAATAAAAACGTTAATTTTTTCTACAATAAATAAAGTTGTTTTTCAACTAAAGATTGATAAAAAAAAATGTTTTAAAAAGTTAATTCTTCTTTTCAAATAAAGTCGTACTAGACTAAATAATTTCTAGATTTTTTTTTTGAAAAGTAAGAACAATGAATGTTTTCATTACTTGAAGCGCTTTAATTTAAAATTAAAAATAAATCATGAAACAAGTTAAATTTAAAACAAGGACACACAAAGAAGAATTAAATGCATTAGTAATTAGAATTGCTTTCTTTCAACAAGATGTATGTTATCTATTAAACATGGTGCAATATCGCTTTAGAATCAATTGTAATATTGTGCAAAAAGTACGACCACTTCTATCAAGTCAACCTTAATCTAGTTTTCAACTAGCAGATATATGTTTTAGTCCAGCAATGTGTGCAACTCTGTCTATTTTACTACCCAGACTACAGTTAGTGCAACAATTATTAGTTACACAAACACCGTCTGCACTAGCCCATCATTAATTAGCCACACAAACAACGTTTTAATTACCCCAATCATAATTAACTACACAGACACCGTCCAAATTACCCCAATCATAATTAGTTACCCAGGCACCGTCCAAATTAGTCCAATCATAATTAGTTACCTTAGTTACCCAGACACCGTCCAAATTAATCCAATCATAATTACCCACACAAACACCGTCTTAATCGCAACAATCATAATTAGCTACACAAACACCGTCTTAATTGCACCAATCATAATTAGCCACACAAACACCGTCCAAATTACCCCAATCATAATTAGTTACCCATACACCGTCTAAATTACCCCAATCATAAGTAGCTACACAAACACCGTATAAATTACCTCAATCATAATTAGCTACCCAGACACAGTCCAAATTACCCCAATCATAATTAGCTACACAAACACCGTCCAAATTACCCCAATCATAATTAGTTACCCAGACACCGTATAAATTACCTGAATCATAATTAGTTACCTGAGTTACCCAGACACCGCACAAATTACCCCAATCACTTTTAGCTACACAAACACCCTCTACGCTATCCTCTACCCATCCACTAAGACAAAACACCGTCTACTCTAGCCTCTACCCATCCACTAAGACAAAACACATCCTCTATCACTCACCTGGTCCTTGTTGACGATAGCGAAGATGAAGAACGAGAACTCCCTCCCAACGTTAAAGTCTATCGTCTCCTTTGTAAACAAAGTCCCATTGCTATCAATCCTGAAAAATTTGGCATCGCTCTTTGCATCCAGCACAAATTTGGTGATCGGTAGACCTAAAGACAAAAATAACCAGTATTATTTTTTTCATAACATGTATGTTTAAAAAGTACATTTTTTAAAAGAAAAGTCGACCGTTCGGGATGAGAAAATAGGGTTCATGTGTTTTCTTAGTATTAGCAAATGAAGGAATTGTGGAGTTAGGCCCAAAGGGCTTGACCCTCACAAATTCGAAGTAACTTCCCATCACTGCTGGGTGGGCTCAAGAGATGTTCTTACTGACTAGAGCTGGGGAATCGAACTCGAGGTTTAGGGGTAAGATGGCAAGTGCTCTACCACTGGACCACACCGACCCATGAAATGAAAGATGTTGTGTGTGTATGATATCGCCTTTCTGCTCTTCGTTGGATGTCTAGAACTGTGGTCGGCAATATGCGACGCCACTGTCGTATGCTGTTCTAATCTCGTATGCTGCACTAATGTCGTATGCGGTACTAATGTCGTATGCGGTTCTAATGTCGTATGCGGCACTAATGTCGTATGCGGCACTAATGTCGTATGCGGCATTAATGTCGTATACGGTTGTTTGTATAAATTTAATCAGGTCACTGATACACAAAATGCGACACTCTGTATGACGAAATGCCGCTTTTCTAATGTTCAATGTCAAAATCGTTGAAAAACTGCACGTTCGTAATTTGTTTTGCCTTGGTTTACTCTGTACTAAAGCTAAAAACTTAGCTTCTGGGGAGAATTTGAAACGTTCTCAATACTAAGTACACTTCATTTTTATTTAATTAAAAACTCTATTCAATATATATATATATATATATATATATATATATATATATATATATATATATATATATATATATATATATATATATATATATATATATATATATATATATATATGTATATATATATATATATATATATATATATATATATATATATATATATATATATATATAATTTATTTATATACATATATACATACATACATATATACATTATATATATATATATATATATATATATATATAGATATATATATATATATAATTTATTTATATACATATATACATACATATATATATACATATATACATATATATATATATATATATATATATATATATATATATATATATATATATATATATATATATATATATATATAATTTATTTATATACATATATACATACATATATATATACATATATACATATATACATATATATATATATATATAAATAAATTATATATATATATATATATATATATATATATATATATATATATATATATATATATATATATATATATATATGTATATATATATTTATTCATTTATTTATTTATGCTATAAACGTGTGTTCGTCCCGCTCTTCTACAAATTAAAAGCTAGAACTGCCTACGATGGAGCTATGCCTCCATCTTTGAGTGATGTTTACCGTAACTTTAGCACCAAAGCACCTACCTGTGGCATTGTCCGTTGCCGTGACCTGCAAGACGGGCACATCTTTGGGAGCCCCGGCATAAATCCTGGCCGGGTAGGGGTTAACGGTAAACTCAGAGATGACTGGAGAAACAAAATGTAAACATTTTCACGGTAAACTCAGAGATGACTGCAGAAACAAAATGTTAACATTTTAACGGTAAACTCAGAGATGACTGGAGAAACAAAATGTAAACATTTTAACGGTAAACTCAGAGATGACTGGAGAAACAAAATGTAAACATTTTCACACGGCTAGCACACAAGTGTTAATCAGCATCGTCAGCAGTTTTAGATTTTAAATCCACAACCAGTTTATTTTTATAGTTTTTAAAAATTTCGCTGTTTATTTATAAGCCTAAGTCAATAGCTGGATGTGATATATAGTTTATAACCCAAGTCAGTAGCTGAATGTGCTACTAAACTTGTAAACTACATCTCATACTTGAATGTAATACTAAGTTTATAAACTACACGACACATCTGAATATGATACTAAGTTTATAAACTACAACTAACATCTAAATGTGATACTAAGTTTATAAACTACAACTAACATCCAAATGTGATACTAAGTTAATAAACTACATCTCGCGTCTGAATGTGATACTAATTTTATAAACTACATCTCACATCTGAATGTGATACTAACTTTATAAACTACATCTCACATCTTAATGTGATACTAAGTTTGTAGAATACAGCTGACATCTGAATGTGATACTAAGTTTATAAACCACATCATACACGTGAATGTGATACTAAGTTTATAAACTACACCTCACACGTGAATGTGATACTAAGTTTATAAACTACATCTCACATCTGAATGTGATACTAAGTTTATAAACTACATCTCACATCTTAATGTGATACTAAGTTTGTAGAATACAGCTGACATCTGAATGTGATACTAAGTTTATAAACCACATCATACACGTGAATGTGATACTAAGTTTATAAATTACACCTCACACGTGAATGTGATTCTAAGTTTATAAACCATAACTAACATCTAAATGTGATACTAAGTTTATAACCTACATCTCACACCTGAATGTGATACTAAGTTTATAAACCACATCTTACATCTGACTGTGATACAACGTTTAAAGACAACCAAAATATCACCCTACTCACCTAGAGGTATAGATGACCATATAAGGTAAATAATCCAAGACTTCGTCTCACCCAGGCAACCCATTCTTTAACATTTGACCTGAAAAACACACACAACACAAACATCAGTAACTCACGAGATAACTAAATTCAGTCTCCAAATTGCAGTTCTGGCTACAACAACATTTTAAATAAGGTAGAACAAGGGCATACGTAAATAGTTTGTGGGAAAAGGGGTGGGGGAGGAGCTAGGAGAGTTCTAGAACGTTTTGTAGTTCGTAAATTATGTTTGTCTTTTTGTTTAGTCTTGTCTTATATTTGAAAAGCAAGGGGGGGGGGGGGAGGTGAGAATCGGCGTATTTTTGAATGGGTAACTGTGGCTAATGTTTTAGGTAACATGTTTCATAACAAAGGATAGTGTAAATATAACATTTACGTACATGCAGTTTGTACAGTTTAAAATGTCGCACTTAGAATAAAACTTAAAATAAGGTTTCATAGAAAAATTTGAAAATTATTCAAAAGTTGCTTTTATTAAAAATGGTAGCCAAACTCTGATCAAATTGTAAGCGACGGTCAAGCTAATCGTCTATACTAGTACGCCACGATGCCATTTTAGACCTGTATGAAGCGTGTAATGTGATATGGGCTTATATGGCGTGGAGCGTTATACATCGTGTGTAATTCATCGGAAAACTGATCTATAGCATTACACTAAAACTCTAAAAAGTGGTAAGGCATTACATTAAAACTCTAAAAATGTGTATGACATTACACTAAAATTTTAAAAAGGTGTATGACATTATAATAAAACTCTAAAAAGGTGTATGACATTACACTAAAACTCTAAAGAAGCCATGAGATTATATTAAAATTTTTAAGTGCTTTATGACATTATACTAAAACTCGAAGGTTTAAGACAGGGGTCTCCAAACTTTTCAGTCCGGGGGCCGCATTAACTATCAAATTTCAGTTTGGGCCGTAGTTTGGAGACCCCTGGTTTAAGACACCTCTTTAGATACAATATAGAAATAAACCCACCTAATTAAATCTTAAGTAAAAAACAACAAGACTATTTACACAAGTTTTTTGATCACCATGTTTAGCCTAATCTCCAAACATGTGTCTGGGTCAGCGAGAATTTGGACTAAAGTCTGACCACAAGGGAGCAGACACTTCTTTACATTATATTTCAACAAAGAGAATGAGACAGACAATAAACTACTCAACATTGCAAGAGAACGTCCGGAATAAATCCCCACACTATTGTCTATGACGGTACCGTCGTGGTCGGCGGGTAGAACGCACGACTGTTAAGCTAAAAGACTCGGGTTCAGATCCCGGGTTCGAGTACGTAGAGCGTACTTAAGTACATCCAGCTCTGACGGGTACCTGATTCACATTAGATCAATTAGACAGCTGGACATATAACTGACAATATAATCCTTTCGTATACCGAAGTCACAGAAATAGGTGAACGCTACTTCACCTGGTCCGAAGGGGCATCTTTATTATGGCCTTTTACAATATCTCCATTTTAATGAATTACTGAAGGGATGAATTCTGTATGAAAGAAAAACTATATAGAAACTGAGGTTGCTATAATACGTTTTTAGTCTCAAAAATTACTAAACACAACAGATGATGTTTCAGAACAAGGGATAGTAGTAAATATTGCAATCAAAACAACCACAAAACAATATTTTCATCGACCAAATCGAAATAACCCACAAATAACAAAACAAAACACTTTTAAACTGTAAAATTGTGCAAACGTGTCTTGAAAACCCAAATCCGTATCCTCTAAATCCTATAGAAAAACTCACAACATAAAACCCGTTACTAATCCTATAGACTAGCTTACATCAAGCCCGTATCCTATGAATCCTATAGAAAAAAACAACATAAAACCCGTTACGAATCCCATAGACAAGCTCGCAACATCAAACCCGTATCCTACGAATCCTATAGACTATCTCACAACATCAAACCCGTATCCTACGAATCCTATATACAAGCTCACATCAAACCCGTATCCTACGAACCCTATAGACTAGCTCACAACATCAAACCCGTATCCTATGAATCCTATAGACTATCTCACAACATCAAACCCGTTTCCTACGAATCCTATATACAAGCTCACATCAAACCCGTATCCTACGAACCCTATAGACTAGCTCACAACATCAAACCCGTATCCTATGAATCCTATGGAAAAACTCACAACATCAAACCTGTATCCCCTGAACCCTATAGACAAGCGCGCACCATCAACAACAACGTTGTGTATCCTGCTCGTCTGGTCCGTGACATCAGTGCAGAAAACTTTTAATTAAAACTGGCCCGTCATCCCACCTGTCTGGTACCGGTGTTTTAAACGGCAGGATGGAACCAAGGTGGGGGCAGGTGGGAGACATAGAGTGCATGGATTTTTTTTTATTTTTTTTTATATTTTTTTTGCACATACCGTAAAATTTATCACGATTTATGTAGCAAAAAAAAAAACTAGTAAGATATGTTTTGAATGTAATGCTTATTTTTAAAACACCGGGCTATTAATATCGGTTAGGAAATGAAACTAATTTCTTCACATACCCGGCGTATCATAAACACGGCAAGTGATCTGTTTTTGCATCAACCCCCATACCACTTAGACCAGAGGATCGCGACTCGCCTTCAATAGATGATGTAACGCCGCGTTTCTTTCATAATCTTCGCGTCTATACCCCGACCTTCGTCTGGTATCCAGAAGTTTATTTTATGTTTAGATAAGTTTTCTTTAACCGCGGCGACGATGGGCTGAAGTGGGGGTGTTTGAGCGATCTCAATATGGGAGGTTTATTTTTAGATCAGACACAAGAAATCACGTGACTGAAATAGATGTTTATTTTTTTAACTGTTTTAATGTAATCGGTCAAATCGAAGGGTCAGCAGTTTAGTAGGGTTGTGTATATCTACATCTCTGAGACCTTCGACCTTATTAGGCATCTGCGAGTTCAATTAATTTCAATCGCATTTTGATAATCATGCTATCCATATTATATATATATATATATATATATATATATATATATATATATATATATATATATATATATATATATATATATATATATATATATATATATATATATATATATATTGGGCACAATATTGTAAAATATCCGAGGCCAAAATATTTCAATAGAAACATAACAAAGCGTCACATTTTAAACACCCCCTACCCCCGTCTTTCAGGTACAGGTACTGTCACAAATGTCCGGAAGAAACTTGTTGAAGTTTAGACTTACTCTAAAGACACTCACCCTGAATTTGAAGATGAAAAGAACTCACTTGTGTTAACCAAAACCAAAAATTAACTAACACCAAACACCCGAAGTAGGAAGGTGCCTCAAACAAGTTTAAAACTTAACGTAATTTGATTGTACACAGCTGCGATAATTAACAACAACACAATCACTTCATTCATCACACGTGAGAAACTCTGCTCCCTCAAACAAAAGGAAAATTAACTCCATTAATTCTTTTTTTTTTTTCTAGGTTTGTACCCCTTCCCACAACACTCTTCTCATTAAACTTGTTCGAGTAAAGCACTGACCTTATTACTCGACGGAATTATCGATAATTGGTGTCTGCCGCCGAGAAAAGTTAATTACACCAAACCTTTACGTGTGGGACTACTGCGACATAGCTACGAGAGAAAAAAATAAAACTCGTGCATGTACACATGGATAAATTAACCCACCAGATCGGCAGTCCAATTAATTCGATACCCACACACTCACCCTCGTTAATCGTAACGACGGGTTGTGCGCCCCTGAAATAGGCGAGCTAAAAATAGGTGCTAGCGTTGGATTGGATAGAGTACAAACCTTACAGGAGCCAAGATATTCCTGGATCGTCTTTACCCGAGGTTTAAGATTAACGTTTGGATTTTATAATTCTACCTTAAAGTACAAATCTGTATTAAATTAGAGCTAGCAATGTTCATATCGTCTATGTCCAAGGCTTCTAGTGAGGTGTTGCATATCTACCCTTCACCCTACCCATGTTATATTAGTACCGTCGTATATGTAGCCGTACTTCACGATTTGAGAATCATCAATGTGAGCCTATGTTACCAGTTATGGCCGCAGTCAAACACTTCGAGTCATTAGCTCAACATGCATGCTGGGAATGGTAAACGCTGTAATATTTAACCATTTTTTTCACACGTGTAACAACATGTTAATGAAGTCCACCACTAAGCTGACTTAATACATGACCTTACTCGTATGACAAACAAATAAAAATATTGCGCTTAAAATAAAATATAAGATTTGAATTAGAAAATGTGGCCTGGCTAAAAAAAAATTACAATGAAATGTTTTTAACTTAGCTAATGGTAGAGTGTAGACGCGACATCAACGACGATAAAACAAATACAGTTATACTTGTAAAATAAAACAAGTGTAGTTATACTTGTAAAATAAAACAAGTAGAGTTATACTTGTAAAGATAAAACAAGTATATTATATCTTTTCAAGTATAACTATACCTGTTTTATTTGTAGTTATTTGTAGTTATACTTGTAAAGGTAAAACAAGTTTAGTCATACTTGTATAGGTAAAACAAGTGTAGTTATACTTGTAAAGCAAGTACTTTTTATACATATTATAGTCTAGACATCTCTTCTTTTCTTTAGTTCTGCAAGGTAGCAGTTGTTTGATTTTAGAGTTGAAGCAACGTTGCTTTTGATGATTTTATTATATATATATATATATATATATATATATATATATATATATATATATATATATATATATATATATATATATATATATATATATATATATATATATATATATATATTTGCCCACACAGGATTTTGCAATCAAAGTAATTCGTTTAAGCATATGGGATTAATTTTTTATTTGTTTTGCCTTCACATTGATTAAATACAAATAATTTTTGTTTTATGTTTACATCAACGTGAGGTAGGTCGACACAAACAAGCAATTAAAAAAAACGTTACTTAAAATAAAAATGGTTCACATGATTTTAAGTGAAAACGATTTAATGAAATTGAAAACGCGAGTAAAATATCGTGTTTCAAAT